ATCGACAGTGGTTTGTAGTTAACTACAGCGGTCGACGGTGGCCGTCGACAATCAACAGATGTTGAAGACAGTCGTGGGTGGTCGATGATGGTCGGCGATGATCAAGGACGATCAGCGGTGGTCTACGACTGCTGGCGACGATTGACGATGGTAAGGAAGGAGTTGGACTTCAGCTCATTCTCAAAGCCTCAAGTTCTCTCTCAAGACATGAGCTTCCTTTCATGAGAGGGGTGGGACACTATTTATAGTGTTCTGGATGCAATTAATGCAGGAATATTAACTAATTTGATCGGACTTTTTGGAAAACTTCCCTTAATTAGACGACGTTTGATGGACATTTGAGTGCTTTAATGTCATCAGAATTGAGCAATTTTAGGCTCGTTGGATTCGTCTTGTCGAGACTCTCGATTCGACTATAGGTTTGCTAGCTTCAACATTAGTTCAACCTTCTAAATATGTTTGAAAAACTTTCAAGAGTGATTTAATGACTTGATTTGAGCTTCATTTGACTTGGATTTGACCAATTTTGATATCATTCAGTCTGTCTCGTCAAGCCGGTCAGTTCGACTATAGTTTTGTTGAAATCGATGTTCTGGATGACTTTTTATCAAGATACAACATTTTTTGCTTAAAATATTGTCTCGAGACAATATCATGCCTCAAGATTCATGTCAGATGATGAGATTTTGTTGATGACATATCAGTATGATATCTTATAGGCAACTAAAACAGGGTCTTAATTTTGTTAGATTTTATTAACCTCTAGTTTAAATATTATATAAATTAACAGAAAGTACAAGTTAACTAAGGTTGAATAATTATAAAATTTAAGTTTGAATTAGATACATCTATAAGCCGGAATTAAGATTTAATACTTTTCAGTAATTAAATTTATTAAGATATAAATAATTTTTTTTTTTAAATCCTTTATGTAATTTAGTATCACGTGCTTTATCTAATAACAATTAGTTATCGGATGTCACATTATCATAAAAATTACCGGTGGGTGATCTGGCGTTTGGTGGTTGACAATCCAAACCCGAAGTATTTTTTAGAAAAATTAGAGGTGTAAATAAGCCAAGACTTCGAGTCATTTTTAATTTAAATTTGAGCTTTTTTTAATTTTATCAAGTTCAAATCGAGCTTAAATGTATGTGATTTATTTAATATAACAAAGGGAGAATAATATTAGATAGTGCTAAAATAAAATTAAAAATAGAAGAAATAATTAAAAAAATAATAAGAAATTATTTAATATAAAATATTAAAAAAAGTTTTTAAAATATTTTCAAGAAATTACGTGTAGAAACTTAAAATTTAATATATTTTGAATATATTTTATTTTAATGTATTTTTTAAACAAGTTGTCTCACCAGCTACCAAGTCGAGTCCGAATGAGCTTGACCTTAGCTTATTAACTCATCAAGCTTACTTCGGGAGCCAATTATCGAGCCAAGCAAAACTAGTTCACGAGCTGGCTTGAATCACTCACAACCCTAACCTAAACTAAAAGACAAATTTCTAGTCGTCAAACAATCATAGAATTAGGGTTGGTTTCTCCTCCAACGACATTTATAATTTTGACTTACATATAATTTTATTTAAAATAGCATATTATTTTTTTTTTATTTTATTCTAACAATAACATGTGATTTATATCAAATTAATTTGTTGCTTTTATATTTGGTTTGAGAAGGCATTTAAATATTATAATTATTATTATTATAATAATGAAAAACAAAATGATTAATTTTTTAAATTGTAAGAATAAAACAATTGAAATGTTAATTAAAAATTTCTCATAACTCTCTCTTCTCCTATTCTGCATGAGTTATGATTTCGACTACCCATCAAAATTTTTTCAAGCTCACGACATACACAAAATTATTTGCCTGTAATGTGGTGTTATTCGACAATCGACATCAGATTGTAAGATCTGTCAAAGTAATTCACTATGTAGCTGTAAGTAAACAGGTTCGGTCTTTTTTCGAAATATGGAAGATGAAATTATAAAAGTACAATAGTGATCCGGCTTTAATAGTCGTGATTGGGCTACAACGAATATTGTTCTTGGTGGTTGTAATTGTTTTAGTTTGTCGTAGAGATCAAAGTTCAAAGTCGTAGTAGTGGTTGGTCATATAGGTTGTTATTGGTTGTTTCAAGAGCATAGGTTAGCCACAAGGCCATATTGGAGAGTTGTAAAAGCGATAGTTAACCATCATGGTCGTAGTGGTGAGTTTTATAAGCGATAAGCCACGAAAGCTCTAGTTGGAAGCTGCGTGAGCTATGAGTCAGATAGGTCATATTTGGTAACATAGGTAGTAGTGGCATGCGATAGCGTTGGTTGACCACAAAGGCCATAATGGAGGGTTGTAATGATAGTAGCAAAACCAAGTAGGCCGTAGTAGTAAGGAGTTGGATTCATGTTCGTAGACCATAGACATAGAGTTAGGAGCCGCATAAGCTGCGAGCCACACAGGTCATAGTTTGTTAAATAGGTCGTAGTTGAAAGCTGCATGAGTTGTTAGCTACATAGGCTATAGTTAGTCTCATAAATTGTAGTGTTGTTGCGATAGAAATGATTGGCCACAGAGAGCTGAAATGACTACAGCTGGCCATGTCAGTCGTATTAAGAAGTTGCATTAACGTTGTTGGCCATAGATGTCAGAGTTTGGAGCACCGTGAACTATGAGCCACGTAAGTCATATTGGTGAGCTATAATAATGTTCGTAGGCCACAGAGGTCAGATTTGGCCTTGAGTCACTTAGGTCATAGCTGATCATATATGTTGTAGTGGTGAGTTTCAATAATATTTGTAAGCCATAGGAGCCACATATGGGAGCTACGTGACTTGTGGGTCGTGTAGATTGTAGTTGGACACAAAGGCAGTAGTGGTGAGTTGCAAAAATGTATGTAGGCCATAGGTGTTGGAGTTGGGAGATGCCTGAGTTGTACGCCATGTAGGCTACAATTGGTCACATAGATTGTGGTTTCGAGTTGCAATAGTATTTGTTAGCTATAAAGTCTGAAGTTTGGATTTGTAATAACATATGTATTCCAAAAAGGCTAAAGTTAGGAGTTGCATAAGCTGCGATCCACGAAGTTCATAGTTGGTCACAAAAATCATGATGGTGAACTGTAATAAAGCCTGTAGGTCATAATCTTACTTGGTCATATAGGCCATGGTAGTGAATTACAATAATGTCTGTAGGCTATAGAGATCAGCATTAGGAGCTGTGTGAGCTATGAGTCACATAGGTCGTAGTTAGTCACATAGATTGTGCTGGTGAGTTGCAATAACATTCGTAAGCCACAGAGGTGAAAGTTGAGAGCTACGACAATGTCTGCAGGTTATAGAGGCCAGATTTGGGAGCTGTGTGAGAGTTAGTTGTCCACCAAGGCTGTAGGGGGAAGCTATGAGGAGAGAACTTCACAAGTCCAGAGAAAGTTGTCATATCTTGAGTACGGTGGTCGCAAGTTGTTACCATCTAGATTATGACTAAATCTTCAATATTATGTTATTTGTTAACCCATATTGGGGGTACGTTGCTACACTGGATTTATGATACATGGTTACATATATTTATATAGTGTAGTTACACCACCTTCGGGGCGTGTTGTTACACCACAACGTGCATCATGATTTTAAAATCATTGCAATGTGTTTCATTACTCTATACCATCGATAGAGAAGAGCAAGGGTAATCTATAGTGGTCAATGATGAACGGTGAGTGAAGTGTTCGTTTAATTTTGTTACATAATAGCTCCAGAAATTGCCCCATGCAGGGTTCTATTTATAGATTGAGGAGTGACATCCTTAGTAAATAAGGCAGGTAATCTTGATCACCCCGTCACATGACTCATAATTAATTAAATATTTTTTCTCTTAAAAGGTGATTCTTTGTGGGCTTAAAATTACTGATAATAATATCTCAAGAGTATTATGGTAAATGTAACAAGTGCTTTATGTAGCCAAAAATATGGAGTTATATCGTCATTCCCTTAATTTTGAGTATGCCATGAAGTTCTTAGGTTCCTTTTACATGGCACTTTCTTATTTGACAAATCCTTCCTTCAAGTACATCTGAAAAATGATTCTCATAACAAATAACCTGTTAAAAGGCTTCACTTGATTGAAGATTACTGAATTGATTTTTAACATTTGGTGTGAAAGCAATGAAAATTTTCAAGATTCCATCCAATCCTCCCTTATTACCATTTGCCCTGGCATCAATGACCTTGCTGGTTTTAAGCTTTTAAAGTGAAAAACACCATGTATAAAACACTTCAGTTATACAACTGAAGAACTGAGAGATTTCTCATCAATCTAATAAAATTTAGGCCAGTCACTCATCCTATCTCACTGGCTAGCCTGCTGTTATTCTACTTCTTTTTTTCATTTCATTTGTGGTTTTGGTGTAATTAGAGGAAGCAAATTTTTTCTAAATATTTGAATTTGGGGGATTTTATCAGAAGAAGCACTAGAAATAGTGTATTTTACATATAAAGGACCCAAATTTTTTTTTTTTTTACATTGGAAGCACCCAAAAGCTATAAATCATCGGAAGGAGGACTCTCTTACCATCATCTTCTTTTTTCATAACCCTAATTTTCCCTCCCTCCATAACGAACAAATATTACATCCGGACTCCGGACGTAGAGATACGCTCGGAGTCCAATGAACAATAGAATATTCCCCAGAGTGTTACTCCGCGTTAAAAAAAAAAAAACTTTCTAGTATTCATGTATTATTATGTTCTGAGAATATTTTCGGTGTTATAATAACATAATAACACATCAATACCACCAAAATAACACATGAATAACGCGAGATAACACGGGAGAAATATTATTGAATCACAAGAAATTTTTTTTTTTTTTTTTTTCTGTAAACTCCAAATGGAGGTGATTGGTTGGACTCCAGAGTATCTCTAGGTTGGGAGTCCGGGCTTAATAATTTTTCCTCGTAACTAAATCCCCCGTGCATAGTGTAGCTCACCCTTGACGCCTTCCTGAATCCGTCTCATTCAATGGAAGGCTGCGGACATCTTCTGCTTCCTTTGTCGGACAGCTGCGGATGCCCTCGCCGGAACCTATGAAATCCACCGAGTTCTTCCTTCCTCCATAAGACACGCCTGAAATGTCTAGAGGATGATCCTCTATGACGATCCATAGACGTCACACTATCTTTTGCCCTAGTCTTCTCACAGTAAGTCCCTTTGCAGGAAAAAAATATTACCTCAGGAGTACTGATGCATCAGTATTCCAATGAGGGGGTGCCACGTAGGCAACGTGTTGGGTCCCTTGCCTACGTGGCGCCCCCTCATTGGAAAACTGCATCATCAGTACTCCTGAGGTAATATTTTTTCCCTTTGCAGAGGATTACTTAGCTCTTTTAACCCTTCTATAAGATTTTAGCCAATCTCATACATTGGAAAGGATTCCTTTTGTTTGGCA